GGTCTGGGGGCTGCCATTCCGCTCCCTCCTGGGGGCACGTTTCTCTTTGGGTGGAAGAGACTCCGAGCTTGCTGGGCTGGAGAGGGCGGCGGGAGGGGCGAGTCCCAGCTGAGAGCGGCGGACGCCCGGATGCCAGCAGACGGGAGCGGGCTGGGCCGGGCTTCTGAGCAGGGGCTGGGAGCCGGCAGGCGGAAGCGGGAGTGAGGAGCGGCGCTGACACCTGAATCTCTGCTCGCCTCCCCCTGGAGAGCGCTTTAATGAGGCTCACAGCTGTAATATCACAGAACGAGCATTAACAATGCTAATTACCTCAAGCTTAGCCCGAACTGGTTCTCAACCCACCCGTCTTGGGAACGCACTGTTGTTCTGGCCCCGCTGGAGCAGGCAGGGGCTGCGGCTTGCGACGCGAGGTGACAGGGGAGCGGGTGTCTGAGCTAGGGTGGGGAGGGGCGCGCTGCGGGGACCCCCAGAAGAGGAGGAAGTGAGAGCCCCGGTGGTGAAGGATGTTGCTGCGCGCTGTTTAAGAGAAACCCAGGGGACGAGCGCCCTGGCGGAAGGCCTCCTTTGGAGAAAGCTGGGACCAGAGGTGTTGTCCACTCGTGTCTGGGCAGAGGGTGGTGGGCCCTCAATGGCCTCCTGAAGCCTCAAAGGCCCCTCCTATCATGAAAACCCAAAGATGTTTTTACATGGGTGTGTGTTTAAAGCAGCAAACAGCAATATATGAAACGGATTAAATCAGAACCATGTGCTAGTGACAGAATATTAAAAAGCAGAGACATTACTTCGCCAACAAAGGCCCATGTAATCAAGGCTATGGTTTTTCCAGTGGTCATGTATGGATGTGAGAGTTGGACCATGAAGAAAGCTGAACACCAAAGAATTGATGCTTTTGAACTGTGGTGTTGGAGAAGACTCTTGAGAGTCCCTTGGACTGCAAGGAGATCCAACCAGTCCATCCTAAGGGAGATCAGTCCTGGGTGTTCATTGAAAGGACTGATGTTGAAGCTGAAACTCCAATACTTTGGCCCCCTGATGTGAAGAGCTGACTCATTTGAAAAGATCCTGATGCTGGGAAAGATTGAACATGGGAGGAGAAGGGGACGACAGAGGATGAGATGGTTGGATGGTATCACCGACTCAATGGACATGAGTTTGAGTAATTCCGGTAGTTGGTGATGGACAGGGAGGCCTGTGTGCTGCAGTCCATGGGGTCACAAAGGGTCGGACATGATTGAGCAACTGAACTGAACTGAACTGTGTGCTAGTCATCATTTGCTTCAAGTTCGGGGCTTAGGAACCTTTTCTCCACTCCTGCCCCACGAGGCCTCTGGACACCTCCAAGGTGCCTTCTAGAAGCCTAGGCCCCTGCACTTGGAAAACCAGTGTTGTAGAATGACCCAGACTTCCAGCTTCCTGGTGTCTGGCGTGAAACCATGTCCCTCCCAGGGCTGCTTGGAATCAGGCATTGCTGGACATCCCAGGGCCTCTGACCCAAGACAGGAGGAGGACAGGCACTAGTTCTCGCATGGGTACCCACCTGATCTGTTGGCTCCTTCCCCAAGCCTGCCTGAGTCTGGGGCTGGCTTTGTAGAGAGTCTTGCCTATATCTACAAAAGTCTAAAGTCACCCAGTGAGATAACATGAGACTCAGCCCTTCTGACTCCTTTCTGCTCCACCAAGAAGGAGAAGTCACACCCTCTGGGTCACCAGCCCATCCCCTTCAACTCTCCAACACAAAGGGTTATCCCACTGGTCCCTTCTCCTTAGTCCCTTCTCCCCATGCTTTCTCCTCTGCCCAAGGACAGAACAAAGGAAACCTGTTCCTCTCTGAGTTTGCTTGAGCATAATGTGGGTCCCTCCAGTTTTCCCCTCCCTCCTTCATCCCTGCCACCCTCTAGAGCAACATCAGTGTCCGATCTGTATACTAGGTTAGTTTCCCAAGCCCTGAGACTCATTGCCTCCCTGGAGGCAATTGCCTCTCAGGAAATGGTGGGTTGAGTCTGGGATGCAAAGCTGGTTTCCCGGGCTCAGAGCAGAAACATCACATTCCCCTATGTGCAGATGAAAGCCCTGTGGTAGGTGTTTATGCCACCTTTTCCTGCCTGAACTTGGTTATGAACCTGAGTCCCCCAGCACTGGAATCAGCAGCTCAGCACTACCTGCCCAGCACCCACCTGAGACCATCCTGGTGAAGGCCTAGCCTGTGTCTGCAACCGTGATCAACAGCCCCTCTGCTAGAAAGAACCGCCCCCCAGTCAGCTTCTGGAAGGAAAGGCTGAAGGTGTGTGATAACACTGCAGGACAGTGGAACATTTAATCAGCAGAGGAACTGAAAGAGACCCTGTCTTACCCCGCTGCATGTCCTTCTGTGTCTTCCAAAAAAACACAATAGACTCCAACTAGAAGCACGCTGAGACCAGAAGTCCCTGCTTGTGTTCTGGCTCCCCAGATGTCCCCTGGACAGTGTCCCTCTTATGTCATATTATTACCTATGTGGTTTGTAAGCTCCATGTGTGTGGGGTCCTGTTTCTCTGCTGTATCCTGAGTGCCTAGCACATAGCAGAAATTTTATTTACTTATTTACCTTGAATGTGTTTGGACTACCACCCAAGCTGTAGCCTCTGGAAACCACTTCCACATGGTTCAGATCCTGCACCCAGAGGCTGTGCCTTTGAGGAGGTTGCTAAGCGGGCTGGGGGCAGACTTGTTTCCTGCGAACCTCCTGCCCCTCACCCAGGGCAGCCCTCTCACTGCCTTACAGGCCATGACCTGACAGGGGAGGAGCTGTGACTCAGCTGGTTTCTAGATGGGTCCTGAGCCTGAGGTCTCTCTCCCCCACTGCCGCCACCACCTCAGCTGTGAGTCGTCTCTGAATCATCGGCCTCGCCTCCCCCGGAAACTTCAGGGGCTTCTCTTCAGGATGCCCTGCCATCTTCTCAGAGGGCTCATGGGATGGCGCCCGTGGTGGAGCTGCCTGCTGTGTCCACGAAAGCTACCATGACCATGGCTTCTCTGGAGTTTGTGTGTGACGGGGTCAGAATTCCATCTGCAAGAGCAATTAGGACCTGGGAGACTCCTCTCCTTTGGAGTCTTCTTCAAACCTGGAAGCTCCAGCATTTCCCTGGAGCCTAGCACACATGCATATGCTTGTAGTCCCACTGGACACCCCAGAACAAAAGGGGTCTACTCACACAGGCTCTATACATTTGCAAATGATTTTTAAAGATCGGGGGTGGGGGGCGGCCGGGGGGTGGGAAGGTGGGTGGGGAGAGAAGAACCAAAAATTGCCAAGGGTTTTAAAACCTTTTATTTGTTTACACATTCTCTAAATTGCAGACAAAATGATTCACTACATAGATCGTCAACACTGCTAATCAACCACAGAACGAGATACAACCACAGCAATAAGGGACAGGGCCTGTGACTCAGTCATTGTGGAGGTGCAAGGGCTCCATGGAGGGGCTGGGATGTCCAGGGGTCCCCAAGATAAAGGCTGCTCGATGCCCACTTCACATTGGCTACAGGACTTGACCTCTTCTTGGCACCCCTCCCAGAAGCCAGGTCAGGACAGGAGGAAGGCAAGGGGAGAGGGCGGCGTCCTGGCTCACAGACAGCCCTCCCATCAGCCCTCTTCTGAAGGAAGCAGCGGACCCGGCTTCTGGACAAGTCCTTGGCAGTGGATCCAATTCCAGGTGTGGGGTGCTTCCCACCCGGAGATCCTCCCGGACGCTCACAGTACACCCGCTCTCTGGGAAGTCACAGAACCCGCGTGTCCTCTTAGGACACTGGGAGATGTGGCACGGCCTCATCTCCAATACTGAAACACTGAGAGACCTCGAAATATCCCTCAGACTGGGCAGAAACGTCACAGCACTTTTCACAGCAGGAGCCACGAGAGTGGGAACTTAGCACACAGGAGAAAGGAGCACCCCCGGCAGACAGGAGCAGAGCGGCGCGCACACACCTACGGCTGAGACGACAGTCACATCACACCTGAAAGAGCCTGTGGGGTGGGAGAACGGGGGCTTTTGTCTGGCTGCTGCTGTGGTGGCTTTTTAGAGGAGCCAGTGGAGATCTCCTCAGGCCATTGCCACTTCCTAAGTCTGGAGCCCTTCTCTGACCTCATGAAAGCTGTGTCGACCTCAATCCTGGACATTGTCTGAGGTACTCGAGTGGCTCAGGGCTGGACAACTCTAAGCTCTCCCGTCAGCAGGAGGTAATGGGTGTTGGATCCCAAGGTCCACTGAGGAGGGAGTTCAAGGGAGCATTAAAGGAAGACCTTCGTTAGCAGGCATTTCTGTTGCTGGAGGTCAACTCTCTTGGCCATTCATTTATGACTAAGAATTTTGCAAAGAGTTGAGGCAGGGCGAGTAGAAGAGAAGGGCTTCCCAGATGGCTCAAGTGGTAAAGAACTCACCTACCAACTCAGGAGATGTAAGAGATGCAGGCAGAAGAGACTGGAAGGCATTTTTGGCATGATGGGCATACACTGTGAAAATGGCCTCCTCTCTTGTGCCCACACCTGAAGAAGTGACACCCAGTTTGCTTCTTATCTGTGGGTCTAGAGGTACAAATGGACCCTCGACGATTGGAGATCATTGGAACATCTCCAGGGGCCACCTTTCCAACCACAGCCCAAAGCAATCTGAGGATGGTAAATTCCCGAAGCTGCGAGGCACCAGGGTCTCTTCACCAGCTGGGTCAGGCAGTGTGAAAGCTCGAGGAACCCCTTCCCAGGCTCCTCACGCTCTCACCTCAACCGGAGTCTGCGCAGGCCTGAGCCTCCTCCCACGACGCTGGGGCCAGCGTCCCCTCCTGTGGGACCCCTGTCAGCCTTCCTACCCCTGGGGCCACAGCTCACCCAGAGGAACCCCAGGAAGACACCAAAGCTGCCACAGTCAGCCTCTCTCTGAGGAGAAACACAGTGGGACTTCAGGCAGCTAGGAGAAGAAAATCAATTTATCTTGGTTTCCTGGCCGAGATGTTCCATTTCTGGGCTCTCAAAGGGGAATGTCACCAAAACTGGGCTTTAAAACTGCCCTCTTTCTAAACACATTTGGAAAGGGAGACACAGAGCCAGTTGAGGACTTGTTGTGACTCTCGATCCAGTGGACTGTGTGATGTGGATGGGACGGTCCCTCCCCCAGACCTCCACTTCCTAATTGGTCCAGTGGGTCACCCTCAGGCTGGGAAGGGGTCTGAGCAGACTGTATTCTCAGCCTGAGAGTAGACTTGAGTAGAAGAGGAGGGAAGACCATCTTGGGGCTCAGCCCACTGGGCCAGAAGCGTCCACCCTTCATGGAGCCAAGGGTGGGGGAGAGGGTGGGTTGTGGGCTCAGGGTCCGAGGCCGGCCGGCTGCCTGGGGGAGGTGCTGCCAGTCTGGCCTGGATGGGATCCAAGTCAGATGGCCTTCCTCTCTCTCCTCCTGCCGGCACAAGAGACTACTGAAACTGGGTCAGTCGGAAGATCCTTGCCCAAAGGCTTTCAAGCAGATGGGTAGGTCAAACCCAGAATGCACTTCGGGTTCTCAAGCACTTTAAAACCAGACCCCCAGCCAAGCATCATGAAAGCCTCATGTCCCTGACTCTCCACAGAGATCACTAAAACTGCCTTCTGGGAGCCAGTGCTGTCCAGGGGAGAGCGTTTCCCAGAACCTGCCCAGTGAAGGAAGTGAAGGCTGCTTTAGGCCAACTCTGAGCTGACACCAACCCAGGGGCAGATACGAGCCTTCCCCTTAGCCCAGGTGATCAGCCTGAAAGCCAGTCTGGGGCGGCTTCTTCAGGGAATAGCTAGAACCTGGAATCTGGCTGTGACATGTGTAAAGGAAGGCAAGCTGGAGCAAATAGCCAATTTCTGATGCTGTCAGACAGTGGGAGTCTAGTGGAGCATGAAGCTCAGATCTGACGAGCACCTGGCCAAAGGAGGACACAGAAGGTTTACTGAAAATACCTTTGACATGCCCTCCCCGCCACCTCCAAACCAGAAACGCTGTGCAGCTGGGACAGCCTGGCTGGGGTCTCCGTGGGAGTCCACCCAACCCATGCATGAGGCCTGCGTTCCACCACTCTTCATCTCTGCTTCCTCCAGTGCGGACTGGACAAGGCTGTTGTGAGGGTCCCTTTCAACCTCTGATCAGGCCCTGCCAGTTGCACCTGCCTGCCCATCACCCAGTGGCCCAAAGGCAGCTTCTGGAGGCCCAGGCTCTGAGTCCCTCCAGCTGGCAACACACTCCAGCCCAGGTGCCTTCATCATCTCACTCCCTTTCCTGTTAAAGATGCTCATCTTCCCAGGGCAGCCAGTGCTTGGGAGACTTAAAAGCCACTGAGCTGAGGTCTGCTGCGCTCCTCTCCCCCAGCCCCAGAGGGTGAAAATAATGGGATTCCTAGGCCTGCTCATCTTCTACTGACCAACATGCGTCCTAAACAGAGAGACCCAAACACACGCATACCTTCCCTGATGGCATGCCATCTGACATGTGATCAGGGTGTCTTGGAGGAGTGGAATTTTAAGGCTGAAAAGCAACTGAAAGGTTGGGCCGGGATGTACTTTATTCCTCCAGACCCTGTGGTATCTAGCACACTGCCCGGTGTGTAGTCCATACCCCACCAAGTGTTTTGGCCAGTACCAGCCTGCCCAGCAGTCCTTCATGGCAGGCAGGAAATGTGTTCATGCCCCTCTGGAGGAAAGATGCCCAGAGTGGGCAAATGGAACAGATGAGTGGTGGGCACAAGGATGGACACATTCCCTTTCCTGGTCCAGGGCACGAATGCCCCTTAGGCATCTGAGCATCTCTTGCCAAAGCATGACTCTCTGCCTTCCCAAATGCCACATGGGCCAGATGCATCGATGAGCCAGGACCCTGCCTCCCTATCCCGCCTCTCTCCAGCCATCTGCCCCCACCGCCTCTGCTCAGGGATAACTGTTCTGTTTTCATGCTCTCGCTCACATATTTGTGTTTTCCCTTTTTTTTTTTTTCTAGTACCTAATTTAGGCCTTCAACTACATGGTGAAAATGTGCAGGGAGAAAGTGTTTTCCTTTTCTTTTGTGCTACTGTTTCTTTCCACCACCACCCCATCCTGCAGCATCCAGCCTGGCAGGAGGGAAGGGAGGGAAGGTGCGGGAAGGGAGAAGGCTAGGTAAGGAAGAGGAGAACCCATGCCTCAGTGGGGAATGATCATAAAAGGGCAAAGTCAACAAAACCACAACCCCAGTGCTACCCAGAAAATCTTTGCATCCCTTCAACAGAAAGCAGAATCAAGACTTTTTTCCAGGTCCCCAACTATTGCCAAACATCTCCCACAAGGAAGCAGAGGAGAGGGATGAGGGAGTCCTCACGGCCAATGACTTTCCAAGCACAAGGATTCCTTTCCAACTCCTTATGGTTGTGCAGGGGCTGGAAGCTGGGGGAGCTGGCCCGGCAGGAACTCAGGGAAGTAAAGCATCTTGTCTGGTGGCTTCTGGTTACCACCAGGTTCTCCTTCTCATCCTGGGGCAAGACAAAGGTTTGCTTTGGTTCCCTAAGCCACAGGTGTGTGTGTGTGTGTGTGTGTGTATACATGTCTCTGTTCTCAACATCCATACTAAAAACATTGATAGGAATTAATAGAGATGCAGAGAGGCAAGCAAACAGGATGCAGTCTATATGAATACAACCTGGAGACTTGAGGGGTGTTGTTGAGGGAGAACAGAGGTCTTGGGGGCTCACACCCTGCCCCCCATTTCCTACAGTGACTGCTTACCCTCTCTCTTCCCCACCACAGCAGCATTTTTTTTTTTTTTCGCCATACTGGGTTGGTGCCATCCTGAATGGCCGCTTTGCTCGCTGCCTGGGCTAGAGGTCATGATTAGTCATTATATCTCTGTCGAAGAGGGTTCTGGCTGCCCGCCAGTCCCGGTCCCTGCCTTCCTCTGGCCTGCCTGGGAAATGTCACCATCAGCACAAATACTTCCTTCTCTTGGTGGGGCCAAAGAGGGGGAAGGCCTGCAATGACTCTCTTTCAAAGCACTGGAGCGAAGAGAGGGAGGGGGTTGGGAACACAGACCGTGACCAAGGGTGTTCCTGGGCCCTCTGACCGCCGTTCTATGTACCCCCCGCCAAAGCTTCCCACCCAGGACCCTGGGGAGCTACCTCAGGTCTCAGCCATCTGAGGGGACACAGGCAGGGCCCCCTGAGAGCCCCGAGAGTGCCTCCTCTGGGGACCTGTCCCTTCCAAAGCTTTCCCCTCACACAGGGGGCCTCTGTTCCTTCTGGGAAACCACGACCCTCCCCCTGACAGTTTCCTGGGCCCAGCTCCCCATGGTCAAAGCCCCCTCGAGACCCCTGGAAGACCCTGAACTAACCCACCTGGCTCTGCTCTTTCTCCACCCGGGGCTGGTGGCCATGGAGAATCGAGACCAGATCCCCACGCCCTGGGAATGATCAGGAACTGGCGGAGTAGGGGAAGGGGGGTGTCGCAACCCCCCTGATAACTGCAGAGCCCCGCCTCTGACCACTGATCAGTTAGACCCAAGGAAACCTGCAGGGCCATGGAGCTGGGTGGGGAGACCTGAAGGCCTGAGGCAAATGAAAGCATCCATGCTTCCACCCTCTTCCAGACTTACCTGGTGTCGAGGGGGACCTGGGCTAACTGGGAAACCAAAAGCATCCTTTTTGGGGTGGCAGTAAGATCCTCAAAAGGGGAAGCAGACAATAGGAGGAAGAGGAACCCCATTCAGCTTGCTGGGCGGTAGGGGACCTAGCCAGGTCCCCCGTTTCTCGCGGTCCCAGCTGCTGGCAGGCTGGGCTTGGGGACCGGGTCCGGGAGGGCCTCCCAGGCCTGACCCCTCTGGAAGCAGTGCCTGGCAGTCCTCCACTCCCAGGGCGGCAGGAGATGACCCAGCCTGGCCTTGGCCACCGCCGCTTTCTCCGCCCTGCCCCCACCTTCCATCCAGACCAGCAGGACCTCAGCAGCTCATCTCACGAACGTCAAAGGATGCTTTTTCTGTGGGGTTGGGGAAATTCACAGCGATCAACCAGGAGACCCTCTGTACCTGCCAACTCCAGCTGGATGAAGGGCATCACTCCTGCCTGCTTTGGTCTCTGAAGCACCCCCTCTGCTAACCCAGGGGGGCAGAGACCAGGGGGTCTCAAAAAAGGTAGAGCCGGCTTGGTGTCCAGAACTGACAAAGGTTCGGCCTTTAGGGAAACAAGCAAAAAAATCTGTTACCAGGATCTTAGGCCTTTATGGAGAAAAAAATGAGTTATAGCATCTTTTTCTTCCCATGCCTTCTAGTTATTTAGGTGCAGGATTTCTTCCTAAGGGGAACCCAGGTTTCTGGCCCCCTCCTCAAGGGCCCTCCCCCAGCCCCAATTCTCTTCATTTTACTTTGCCTAAGGTGAAAATCTTTGACCCTTTCCACTCCTTCCTCCCTCCCTCTCCAGGGATGTGAGCCTACTCTAGGTGACACTGATGTCCAGCTCGGAAAAGGAGGCAAGCAGGTCACCTTCACCAGGAGTGTGAGCTCAGCTCTGACCCAGGAGGCCATGTCTCCCTAGGGATGGGACACAGGTGCGCGCTGAGCAGGGGCCCACAGTGGGTGGCAGGGGAGAGCCTGGGGTTTCAGGGACTGAGAGAGGAAGGGGGGCTGTGGTCCCAGCACCTGCATTCAGACTGAGAACCTCATAGGAGGCAGAGAAGGGGGTCCTCAGGGCTCCCCCCTCACCTCCTACACAAGGACTCAAAGACGATACCAGAGGCCCCTCTTCTCTGAGGCTGGAAGCCCTAAGGGTGCCCATAATTTTTCCTCAAGAGCATAGATCTGTCTCTTAAATTTGCCCCTATAGGAAGAGTAATAATAATCATCTCATTTTTCTTCCTTAAAATATCTGAACTTTTAAAGGGAAGGGCACAAAGGAATCATGCTGTGTTCAAAGCACAAAGACTAAAATGCACCATGAGCGTAAACTCTCCAGGGTATCATGAAACCATCACTGTGAAAGCCAAACCCTCCCCCAACCTTAAACCTGCTCTCCTCCCCAGCTCCGAAGGAATCTGGCCTCCCTCCCACAGGCTTGCTATCCTGGTTGCAGACAGACTGAGCCAAGTCCAGGGAAGCAGCTGCCCCCAAGGCCTGCGCAGGCCTCCTACCTGGCTCCGGGGCAGTGACAGGAGCAGGGGCGCCTTGAGACTGGCTGGCTCCCGCCTCAGGGGCTCTGACTCAGTGCCGGGTTGAGAAGGAAAGTCAGAAGGTGAACATCCCACCAGGGGCCTTGTCTCTCTATTTCCTCACTCTGGTGCCTGCCCTGGATTTGCCGCAGGCCCCAAAGGAAGCATTTGGAAAATACCTACAGGAAACAGAGGGTTTCAACTTCCGGCTTGGACCCTGCAGCTGCACCTCCTCTCTGGCGGGCGGGAGCCACAGCATCGGGGTGAAGCTGAACCAGGGCACCCTGGCTGTGCCCAGGCTTTGAGCTGGGAGGCAGCAGCATCCTTATCCCCACATGGTGGCCTCTGTGCACAGTGACAGGAACTACCACGGTGCGGGGGTCCCCCCCCCACCCCCCCACCAAGGAACCCAAGCCCCGTGCCAGGATCTTCAGCAACACCGCCTCTGGTCCCTGAAAGATCCCTGCTGGATAGGCCAGATCCCTGCCTTCTCAGATGTGGAACATGAGGCTCAGAGAGGTTAAGTCATCTCCCCAAGTCATTTCTTCTAGAAACTAGCAGAACTGAGCTTTAAAAACCAGTTTTTAAGAGACTGTTACACTGAACTGAACAACAGCCCTCCCCATAAGGCAGAGCCCCGTTCTAGGCTGCACTGACCTTATAGAAGGAGTATCTTCATTCTAAAATCCCCAGCCCCAGGGTACAGCCTCATCCTCCACCACAGATCCATGCTCAGTCACAATATTCTTGTCACAGCTTGACCTAGTGACCCTGACCAAAGGCAGCCTGTTCCTTAAAACATAAACCCCCTTTGGTCAAAACGGCGATTCCAAGAAGACATCTAACCTTGGCTAACTCACACGAGAAAGTGGGTGTGAAAATCATTTTGGGGGTCCCTACCTGACAAGCCCAGCTCTCCAGTGATGACTTATATAACATTATGCCTTTTAAGACTCCTGATATCACTGTGGAACCGGCAGGACACGTATTATCTCCATTTCACAGATGGGAAAACTGAGGTTCAGAGACATTAAGTGCTTTGCCCAAGGTCAAACAGCTACTCAGTGGCAGGGGTAAAACAAAAACCCTGAGCATCCACGTGCACCCATGATTCCAGCTCATTTTCTGGGGCTCAAAAAAAGAGCAGTTGTTGACCAACACCTTCCTTTTTTCAGTATAGAAAGTGATCAGTGTGACCGTGATTTTTGCTTGTAGTATCCTGCAAGTGCCATCTCACCAGCCGGCTTTGCTGTCCCCATTTTCCAGATGGGGAAACTGAGGTCTCCAAAGAAGAGATTGGGCCCGTCCTGCAGGGAGTGAAACTGAAAAGGAAATTCTGGACCTTCCTGATGTTCAGTGTAGAGTCCTGGCCACCCTCACCCCGTGGAAGGTCTGCGAGACCCTCCTTGGTCTGCGAGACTCAGTCACACTCTCACAGCTTATGTGGCAGCCAGCATGTCTGGAGAAAAACCACAGTCCCCTCCCCTCAACCCATCAACTGTGTTGAGGTGGGGAACACTCTCTGAAGAGGGTCTGTCACATGCAGGGTCACTGTTTGGTTTCAGATTTGCTTTTTTAAGCTTTTAAGCCATTTGTGGCTTTTGCAAACAGCTTGACGACTTTTTTCCTAAAATTAAAGTGATTTTTCAAATCCAATAACCAACCTTTGAGGATGCCCACTTTGGGTTTTGTGGGAGAACAGAGAGCCAGGGCCGTCGGGGGAGGAAATCTGGCCCTCCAATGTGACCCTGTCGGGTAAACGGATGATGGTGTGACCACACGGCAGCTTCCCAAACCCTCCCTGGGCCTCCAGAATCCAAAACGGGTGCACCAACCAACAGGGAGAAGGAAATCCCTCCAGAGGAAGGTGGAAATCCCATCTGGTCGGCCCTTCAAACGAGATCATTATGTCCCCGTGTAACTCCCTCTGAGGCCACAGGCCCCTGCAGGAGGCTGACCTCCACCTCTGGCCACAGGGCACCCTGCAGAGAGACCCACACAGCTTGGCTCCCCACCAGGCTGCCCCAGGTCCACTGGCCAAGAGCAATTAGCCAGGAAGGAGGGCTCTTGCCAAGTCCTGGCGAGAAGGCCACAGCCAGGCAGAGGTGGCCCAAGTGGTTGGAGCCTCCAGGCCTCCGGGGGGCTTTTTTCAGGAGCTGAAGGTCTAAAAATAACCTGGGCCTTTGTTGTAAGCAGCCGGACCACAGAGATGGAGCTGATTTCAAGGAAGCTGAGCACGCGTGAGGGTCCGGTTCACCGAGACCTGCCCTTTGGGCAAATGATTTTTCCAGAAATGTGTCAGTTATTGTGTGTTTCTCCTGTTGCCACTGCTGCAGAGGTTCAAAGGTGGCCTGGCCCGCTCCAGCCCACGGGGCTGACATCCAACACAGACTTCTCGGAATCTGAGCGCCTCCCCACCTCTTCCTCCTCGACACATTTTTTTTTCAAAGGGAGAATCCAGCGTGGACTGGGGACTTTGGAGACAAGAGCAGACCTCGAGCTGAAGGTTCTGAGTGATGGTCACCCTGGTCATAAATAATCACATCATCCCAGTTATTTGTTTAGGGAATCATTTCTCCCTCATCCTGAAGTTCCCAGAGTCAGGTCTCAGCAGACAATGGCAAACGTACACGATGCGAAAGAAAGGAGTTACTCAGGAAAAGCGATCCGTGGTGTCACGTCAATACTGAAGGGTTGCAGTACTCGGAGCTGCAGTCCTCGGGACCAATATTCAGATTCTTGACCTGGCAGCTTCACTCACCTTCCCGGTTCTTGGTCCACCAGGGAAAGCTCCAGACCCAGACCGAATGGAAAGCAGAGTCTTGACCTCTCCAAAGCTCCGCCCATGCTGTGGCCTGTCTCTCCTCAAGGATGCCCCAGCTCTGACAGTCTGGTCCCTCGCAAAGCCATTCCTGATGGACAGCAAATACTGACTAGCTCTGACGGGGCCTCAGAATTACCTTCATAGCGTTTGCGCCCACCTCTCATGGCCTCCCCCTCCCTCCCCAGCACCATCTAGAGACACCCCCCCCCCCAACGGCGGCTGTCAGTGATATCACTGGATATCTGCTGGGGGTGGGTGCAGAAAGCAGCAAAAAGTTCTTCAAAGAGACGGAGGTACCAGGAGAGATTTCAGAGCTTCACCATCTAGATGGCCTCCAGGCCCCGAGTCTAGAAGTTTCCAGGGAGGCTTGTAATAAATAAAAACTTCTCTGCAGCCCTTTGTTCCTCTGCTGAGTTCGGGATGGAAAGACGAAGCTGAGGGCAGGGAGGCTGTGCGAAGGTTTCTTGGAACACGATAGATAATACGAAACACCAAACCACACAGGAATGACAGGATGGGTGGTCACAAAACGGGACCTTAAAATGGGGAACCAGCGAGAGGGTGGCGGTGCTAGGATAAATGTGAGGGAGGGTCCACAGGGCTGTGGCTGGGGTCATTCTTCAAAATTTACCATCTTTCTGGCAGAAACAAGGGGTCGGGGGCTGGCTGAAGAACGGAAATCTGCATGTCGGAGGTAAGCAGACACCTCGCCCCTTGATGCCCTGTATCCACGTGCTCTGTGGTTACTGATTGACGTTCCTCCTTACAGTTGGTCTGTCTGGATATACGGGAGTAGGGGCTCGATCGGGTTTGAACTGGGCTCTGCTTCAGCCTCTCCAGCAGCAAGTCACCTTCTATGTGTGTCTGGGGACCCTAGGCCTGGCAGCCGAAGGCTGAGGCTTTTTCTTTGAGCAGTTCCCAGCATAAGTGGCAGCTCCAGCTCCCTACAAGAAATAAGACGGCATTATGAGCAGCCTCTCCCCAAGCCTCAAGCCCCACCCCTTGGCCCTAAACTTTTTATAGGCCCCATTTTATTTTGATTTTCATGATCCAGAGACCGAGTCTCAGTTCCAAAAACGTGCTGAAGTCTGTCGCTCAGCAGAATAACGCTGTTCAGAAAACAGTAAGTGCACAGAGATGACTGGCCGATCAGCAGTGAAGACCCTGCTTCCTTGGTCGTGCCTCTTGACCAGCATCACCAAGTCTGGACCAGTTTCCCTTAGAAACTCACACCTCTGCCACCATCTCAGTCATAGGCCTGGGAAACATCTCCTTGGCCTTCAAGCTGGAATTTTAGCTGGTTGAACTGGGCCTCAGTTGCATGATCTGTAAAGTGGGAGTGGTCATACCTACCTCGGAAGGTTATGACGATTAAATGAGACAAGATACGTGAAGCCCTTAGCACAAGGCCTGCACTTTAGTGAGGGCTCGGGAAGTGGTGGAAGTGGCTGTCGTTGTTATTGGTGACCTCATCATTATTACCTTCTGGGGGCTCAGCCACGGGGGGATTTAAGCAGTACATGTGGTAACCGCGGTCACAGTCATCGCAGAAGAGTAGCTGGTCCTGGTGGAGCAGAGGGGAGGAGAGGAAGAAATATGGGATCGTTTAGGTTGATTATTTTCCGGGCCCCCACTGACCTATGCCACCAGCTTATGTCCATTAATCAGCCTCCCTGGATACCCATTTCCCAGCCCCATTTGGAGTCCTCACTCCCCTCTGAACATGCCGTGTGCTTTGCCCACACCTGGAATTTCCCCATCCATCTTCTGAACTATGCAAACCCTACTCCCACAAAAGTGTTCTGCTCAAATTATTCCTCCTCCAAGAAGCCCCCCTAGCCCACCATCTCACACCCAAGCCTAAAGGGATTCTTTATGCTTCTGAACTCACATCACCAACAATTCTGCCTCCATAAGGGTAGAAAATTAATTTAATGCATTTCTCTATTCCTCAGGATATTTGCCTAGTGAATAGACAGTACTTTAAATGTTTGCAAATCTTAATTGAATTGCTTTGGATCTCACTCTTTCCATTTATGAAATGGGCAGCATACTTGTTTGTAACATCCATGACACCTCAGAACCTTCTCAGGGTTTCGTTACTAGAGAAATGCAAGTGATATTATGCCACCTGTCAGCTCCTAAAAGCCTCCTTGGAGGCTGGAGGCTGGACACCAGATGAGAATAGGCCTTTCTGGCACTGTTGTTAACTTCCAAGGACACAGTTGACACCTTTGCGCCTGTAGCTCTCTCTGTTTGGAGGCTTTCCCAGTCCCTGATCCCCTCTGTTCTGAACCATTCCCTAACCACACTTCAAGTCTTCAAACACTTCACTGTTACAAAAACTTCATTAATCTACTCAAATGGAAGTTCTCTGACCCCTCTTGCATCCTCATGTACTTTCTCTTTCTTATGACATTTAATTGCACTTTACTTTTTGTTGCCAAGCCTGGCATGTGGTAGACATCTGCACACAGTCCATTTGGAACACGGCTCTTTGGTCCACGCCTGCAGAAGTTGCACAGCCCTTGGGGCAGACCTTGTCTTACTCATCTCTACATCTCCTTCAGAACTTCTGTGCATAGGAGCTACTCAGTAAGTCTTTGTGACCTGGTCCCCATCCTCCAGGTTCAGCCCTGTTCTATTCAGTTATCTCTGGGTCTGCTTTGATGGCTTATAAGACATCTGTAAAGTTTTGTAGCAAATCTCACCTTGGCTTTTGACAGTTTAGAGATCCTGAAAAAGTAGATAGAGAAGTTGGAAACCCCTGTGAGCAAGCAGTGAGGCAGGAGAGACCATGAAAGATCTCTTTTTTATCATGCTAAGACCTTTCAATAGGACATGGTGGGAAGGTTTCAAAGGGTTAGCAACAGAGGACTGACATGGTTAGACTTGCAATTTAGAAAGATCTCACTAGCTGCTGCATCAGAATAGATGCCCAGGTGGAGAGAGATTGGTTCTTGAGGCCGGAAGACCACTTAGGAGGCTACTGTAGTCATCCAGGTAAGAGATAACGTATGATGATGGTCTGAACTAGGGTGGTGGGTTGGCGGAGAGAAGAGGGGCCTGCTTCCATTTGAGAGTCATTGATTAGCTGTAGAGAGTGAAAAGGAAGAAATCAGGGGTGTCTCCTAGGTTGTGGTCTTGGTCAGCAAGCCAGACGAGGTAGCCATCCATTAAGCCAGAGCAGAGGATCATGCCTATGGGGAGGCAGAAGGCCACCTCAGCTATAAACAAGTTCTGTAGGTGTACAGATCACCTGGTGAGGGTGCCCTGAAGGCAGCTGGAGATCAGGAGAGAGGCCTGAGCAAGAGACATGGGTTAGGGAGTCTTTGGTGATGAGATGGTGATGAAGGTCCTGGGAGAGGAAGCCCAGGGTATGCGAAAGCAGATGTTTTTGAACTTGTGCTCATGGAGGGGTGTCCATGAACACCTTGAAAGAAAAACACCAATACAGTATACTAACGCACACATATGGAATTTAGAGAGATGGTAACGATAACCCTATATGCAAGACAGAAAAAGAGACACTGATGTACAGAACGGACATTGGACTCTGTGGGAGAAGGCGGCGGCGGGGGGGGGGGGGGGGGGATGATCTGAGAGAATAACATTGAAACATGTATCTTATCAATTGTGAAACAGATCGCCAGTCCAGGTTTGATGCATGAGACAAGTGCTCAGGGCTGGTGCACTAGGATGACCCAGAGGGATGGGATGGGGAGGGAGGTGGGAGGGGGTTCGGGACGGGGAACACATGTAAATCCATGGCTGATTAATATCAATGTATGGCAAAAACTACTAGAATATTGTAAAGTAATTAGCCTCCAACTAATATAAATAAATGAAAAAAAAATTAAAATTAAAATTAAAAATTAAAAAAAAGAAATTAAATGTACAATTTTGCATACAGGTCCAAAAGTAAATTTTTCTAAGGAAAAAGTAAATCCATAGCTTTCATTGAATTTTCTGAAAAATCAAGAACTCAAAAAAGTTACTGAGGAGAAGATTAAGAATAGAGTCTTGGGGAACACCAAAGTTAAGGACAGGCATACAAAAACGAGGCTAAGAAGCAGCAGTCGGAAATGCAGGATGAAAATGAGATTGGTATAGTCTATTCCAAGGGTTACACCATTATTGTCAGAACTCAAGTAAGCAAAATTGCAATATGATTTAGGGATGATATGAGGGAAAACAAGTTAGAAGAGGGACAAGAAACAGGGAGAGACTTGTGAAACAACACTAGTAATATCTGAAATACATTGACAGCTCCTACTTAGATAAGAAGACAGGATATCCAGGTTTAGACTTTCTCAAAGGAAAACCAAGGTACCTGTGGGTTTAAATGTATCATTCATAGGTTGATAATTGTCTAGCACCATAATCTCTTCTTTTCCATTTGCTTCTCAGATAACTGTCTGCCAATATTACCAAAAAAAGAAAAAAAAAAAAAAACCCAGCCCATGCTATCCCCCATGAGAAACACACTTTAAGGGTTTCTTACTCCTAAGTATTTAAGAACCAGAATTCACCTATGGCTACAGTTCCAGTAGAATGGGAATCCTTTTCTGGAATGTACATTCCCACCTACTCTGACAATAACCAGTCTCTCTAGTTTCTTATTTATCCTTCTTCTATTTCTCTTACACAATTAAAAAGATACATGTATATTTTCTTATGCCTTTCTTACAAAAATGGCCATGTACTATAGATATTATTTTTACTTTGCTTTTTTATTTAACAACATATCCTGGAAATCACTCCATATTAATTCATAAAGATGATCTTGTGTTGTTGTTGTTGTTTTATAGTTACACAGTACTTCATTGTGCTATCCCTTATTCACCCATACTGTGTATTAGCATTTAGGTCATTTCCAATATTTTGCAATTAAAAACAAGGTGATCATGAAGAACATTATGCATATGTATTTTCACAGTGTTATGGGTATATCTTTAGGATAGGGTAGGTGTGACAGCTGAGTCAAAAGGTAAGTGCACAGTGGTTTTGTTAGGTATTGGTACAACAAAGGGTTGTACCACTTTGTTTTCCTGCTGACAATGCATAAGGGTGCCAGCTTTCCCTCAATTTCATCAACAAAATACACTGTCATACTTTTTTCCCCTAATTTTATGGGTAAGAAGTGATATCTCAATTTTGTTTACAGTTAAATTTCTTTAATTATGAATGTGTTCAAACCATTTTTTTCCCACTTGTATAAGGGTCATTTTTATATCTTTTGTGAACTATCTTTCACTTTTTCCCCATTTTCTATCAAGTTTATGATCCTTTGTCCTTCAAACTTTAAGGGTTCTTTATATATTATACATTGCCACCTTTATCTGTAGTATATGCTGCAAATATTTTCTGCCAGTTTGTCAGTTATCTTTTTACTTTATTGTGTTTTTTAGTATGCAGATGTTTGTGTGGTCAGACTTGTCAACATTTTCTTTTCTTCCCAGCGAATTGTGAATCACAGAAAATCTCACCTTATATTTAGATTAGAGAAGAATTTATCCAAGTTTTCTTCTGATACTAATATGGTTTTACTTTTTATATGTATATCCCCAGTTCTCATGAAGACTGTTCTTCTGTATTATACAAAATATGGACCTAATTTTATCTTTTCCCAAATGGTTACCCTATTGTCCCAGTATCATTCATGAAAATGTCTATCTTTGATCCAATAATTTTAGATAAACCTTTGTGTGTGTGTGTTTTAGTGTGTTAGCCGCTCAGTTGTATCCAACTCTTTGCAACCCCATGGACTGTAGCTCGCCAAGTTCCTCTGTCCCTGGGATTCTCCAGGCAAGAATACTGGAGCGGGTTGCCATTCCCTTCTCCAGCAGGTATTCCCAACTGAGGGATCAAACCTGGATCTCTCACGTTGCAGGCAGATTCTTTACCATCTGAGCCACTGGGAAGACCAAACTTAATCTGACACTAAATGTCCATATATAATTGGGTTGATCTGTGGGTCTTCTATTCCATTCCACTGGTCTTTTTGTCCATACAGTTTTAATTTCAGAGGCATTATAGCAGGTTTTAATGTCCGGTAGGGCTAGACTCCCTTCATAAGGAGCCCTTCAAAGGGCTCCCTTGTTGTTTTTCAGGGTTTCATTGACTATTCTTGCATTTTTTCCATATGAATTTTAGTATCAACTTGTCTAGTTCCATCAAAAAGGATGTCGGTGATTTTATTGGGTTTAAATCAAATTTATAAATTAACTTAGGAAGAATTGAAATCTTTACAATTTGAGTCATTCTATGCAAGATCACACCGTGTCTTCATTTGTTCAAATCTGCTTCTATGTCTTTTCAAAAGCATTTAAATATTTTCTTTATTTAGGTTTTACATACTTGCAGCTAAGTTTATTTCTAAATATTTCTCCTTTTTTTGCTATTGTAAGTGGAGCGTCTCTACCATAATGTCTTCTAACTGGTTATTATTTGTGCATATGAAGGCTATTAATTTCTATCTGATAATTTTATATATTGCTACCTTTAATGTTTGAGTTAGCTTTATTGTTGATTCTCTAGAGCTTCCAAGATATAATAGTTTGTGAAATAGAGAAAAACTTTCTAATTTGTTACCATTCTTATTGTTATCTCTTACCTAGTTGCATTAGCTAGTATCTCTAGAATAATGAGTAGTAATAGCATTAGTGGGCATCCTTACCTGGTTCCTGATCTTAGAAATGCCTCTAGCATTTCTGCATTAAACAAGATAATGGTTTTAATTCTAAGGTATAAAAAACTTATCATGTTAAGAAAGTAATACACAATTTCTATTTTCTTGATCATGAATAGTTGTTGAATTCACTTCCTTATTTTGAAAACTGATAAAGGAAAAGAATCAAGTATTTATCCTGCTTTTTCTACAGAATCTATAGCTGAGGGTAACCAAATACAAGGTTTGGAAAGTTTCTCTTTATAGAACTACTCCAGCTATTAAACAAAGAAGAAGAAATCATAGATTAAGAATATCACTATTTACAACCCCTGATAAAATAATCAATGTTTGAAGATCACCAACAGTTGCTACCTTCACAAAAAGAGAGATACCAGGTATTACGTACCTCCTGATGAAAGTATACACCACTATTTATTAAGTAGTCTTACTATTTTTATATGTTAAAGAAAGAGGCAGAGAAAAAGAGAGAGAACCTGGATCTGATCAAGCCTCTAGCTCTAAGTACCATTGTATAAGAAATACAAGAGACAGAAGAAAATGTCAAACACGACCATAGGGATACAGTCAGTAAAACAAAATCATGGGAAACTCTATTGAACAGGTAAACTGATTTCTTTAACAAAAAAATCAAGGGGTGGGGGGGGGAAGAGAACAAAATGAAGGGAAATCCTATATATTAAAAGAAACTATAAAGACATACCAACTAATTGGCAATGCATGGGCCTTATTTGAATCCCAATTCAAATAAACCATAATAAAAACATTTAGAAACAAGATAATTAAGGCAATGTTTAAGACAATCAAGGCAATAGAAATATTGACTGGATGTTTGATTATATTAAGTAATTGGTGATTTCTTAAGTCTATGTTAATATTTTGGTTAGTTTTGTTAAAAAGTAAATCCTTATGTTTTCAACTTGTAAAAAATATATTCACAATCTTTTAAAAAGTACTCTTTATCTTTTGAGATATGTATGGAATATTGTCAGGTGAAATGATATTATGACTAGGATTATAATTTCATACAAAAGAGGTGGCAACATTTACAATACAAGAGTGGACATGTACTGATCATTGTTGAAGTTGGTGATGGGGTACACAAGTCTCATTATTTTCTCTATCTTTGTATATGTTTGAAATTGTCCATAAAATAGTGTTTTTTTTTAAATTCTGCATTTATTATGCTTAATATTTAGACCAAATGAGATGACACATTCCAGAATGTGGTGTAAAAAGCCAAGCACATCCCAACAGTAAGCGATGGGCACCATTGTCTACCACTGACCCCTTGAGGGCTGAAGGCCAGCAAGGCGGTCTCTGGCCGTTACCTCCTGCACCTGTTTCTAAAGGCACAAAGAGGAGCCAAGGTCATTGTACCACAAGGGTCCCCAAGCAAAAGTCAAGGGGGGAAGGTCCTGATGGATATTTCCCCAGGAGTCCAGTAATGAGAATCCCACCTTCCTCTCCATCCTCAAAGGACTCCCAGCTCCTTGGGTTTCCCCTCCCACGCGGGAAACCCACACTCACATCATTCTCCGAGGTCCCACAGAGGATGCAGGACTTGCATTCTATGCACTGCCACTTGTAGGTCTTGACAGCCTCGGTCATGTTCAGGGTGAACTGCAGGCAGGTGGGGTGACCTGGAGGAAACAGAAATGGCAGCATTAAGGCCAGAGGGTCTGACCTGTCACCCCCTCCACACCACATTATGCCTCACTTTGGAGGGAGGGTGGGGTAGCATGTATTGGGAAGCAAACTGGGGGCCTGGATGGGGCCCTACCCGCCCTCTTCACCACCAGCCACAGTTACAGCAGATCAATGCCCAAAGAGAGGACTGAGGATTAACCCTTTGCTGGGGAGAGATGTCATCCAAGTCCTCTTGCCCTAACAGCCTTGTCCCCCCAGAGGTGTAACCAGTTGATGAGGACAGAAAGTGGCGATCAGAGAGAATGAGAAAGGAAATCACACGGCACAAGACGACACTATGAGAGTCAGCAGCATCATGTCCCCAGCATCAGTTGTGGTGGGAGCAACATAAGAGCTATTTGGAGCTGATCCTCTGACCTGCAAAGTTGTTCATGCTGCCTCAGGGCACAGGGGAAGAGACCAGAGAGAGCATGTGAGGCTCCCGGGGCCAGAGCTCAGGGCACCGGAAGGCTCTGCATTGCCACCTAAAGCATCCCTCTGTGCCCACGACCAGGGGACCAGCAGAAGTCCACACCCTGCACAGCACCAGGAGGGAGGCTGGAGAAGCAGAGCATCACTGCAAGGATGTCCAGGTCAGTCCTCAACTCTTCCCTTCATCCCAAATATCACATTAGCCAAGCCAATAGCAAGAGCAGGGAGGGACATTAATGTGACCTTAGAGCACCCAGCCCCAGCGGTCCAACACCGGAGGCATGGCCTGCAGGGCTGGTCTCTACCCTCAGTTACAGCTCACCCAAAAGACAGAGGCCAGCAGCAAGAGGACAACTGTGAGCCACAGAATGGGAAGCCTTTGACCTTCTGTTTGACAGGGACGGGAAACTTGGACGAGGTCCCCAGATCACTCAGGGCTGTGAATCAGAAGGCAGAGCACCCAGGGTGAAGCCCATTACCAACACTGTCAAAAAAGAATGGACAGTTCTGCCTGTTGTTGGGGGTTCACCTTCTCCAGAGCTCCCAATTCTGCCAAATCCACCATATCGTGCATTGCTTGGCCTCTTTCACATGAGGGATTGTGAGCTTCCAAAGGAGAAGAGTACAGATTGGGCCTCCAGTTAGAGGCAGTGGTAGAACTCTCCCACAGAGAGTCAAGATCCACAGGGTAACACCACTCCTCCGCAAAGTCACAACTCAGCAGGAGGCCCTGTTTCCTCTTTTCCATATCCTCACAAAGCTGGTTCCATCATGGTCCTTTGGGGCACATTCTGTCCATTCAGTCAACAGACAAGCCCTTCAGATCTGGGGCTCCAGCAACGCACACCAGACCCAGCTATCTCTGAGAGTGAGAGTGGGGACTCGTGTTGAGGGGAGCTGGGGACACTTCACAAACAGCAGGTGAGAGCATTGAGGCAAGGAGGAGCCTGAAAGCTTCTCCAGGGCTTCTCAGAGGCCACCCAAGGTAGAGACCCCCATGGCTCTGAACCGATAACTTTCTCAAAGCGACACCATACCAGTGACCCAGGGGAGAGAGAAACCTTACATTAAAAGCTTGGATGAACATCCAGCTGATATTCCTGATGGCATCTCAAATACCTAAGGACACTGGCCAGGGTTGTTCCCTATCCCGCTCTCTCACACTGGGATGGGAACAGGAAAGAATACACCAGCTTGAGATTCTGACTGATCTGCGCCATAGATGCCCATGTTCTTAGACAGGACACCCGGGAAGTTTGACAATTCATGGAGCAGATACCTAAGTTAGCAGGTTGTCATTGCCCAGTTCTACAGCCTCAGTGTACACCCAGCCACACCCACCCAGCTTATAGTAACTGTTCATGAACAAGGATTTATTGGACATCTGCTAGAGCAATTATGGTCCCAGACAGAAAAGATACACTGGTGAGCAAGACCACACACCCCTCCACCTCCAGATGCCTCTAGTCTGGTCAGAGAGAACTCAAATTAATAAACTACACACATACCTATTTACCTATAGCTGTGTGATAAGTGCCATGAAGGAAAATCATAATTGGCAATGAAAAATCACAGGAGGATCATATCTAGTCTGAGATGTCAAGGAAACCTTCCCTGAGAAAGATCTTGGAGTTGACACCTGGCAGATGAGGAGGTTAGCTGGATGGGTAAGGGAGAGGATTCCAGTGTGGAGGATGGTGCATGGAGCGGAGGGCACTGAGCAATGGAGGAACTGGGCAAATTCAAAGGAAGGGAAAAGTCAGTCGGCAGAGGCTCGCAAGCAAAGCAGGAGGGGAGGTGGGTGAGAAGCTCCCAGAGAGGAGCTAGCGTCAGATGACCCGGGCACATTATGCCCTTCGTTAAGGATTTGGGGCTTTAAAATCATTAAAGCCTTTTGGGCAAGGCAGTGACTAGATTGCTCTGTGTGTTTTTCTAAGATTATTAGATTTTTCATTTTTTAAAAGTTTTATTGGAGTATTGTTCTACAGTGTTGTGTTAGTTTCTGCTGTAAAGTGAATCAGCTGTACATTTACATATATCCCCTCTGTTTTGGATTTAAAAGAGCATTCCTTCAGCAAGAGGGAATCTTTGGATGGTGAAGAAATTCTGAACCTTGATTGCAGTGGTAGTTATGTATGTGATAAGATTGCATAGAACAATACACGCACATGTATAAACACATGTGTGTGAATATAAAACCAGTAACACAAATAAGGAGGTCAGTGATTTCATGGCTGTCAATCACCTGGTTCATAGTGTACTGTGGTTCATAGCATACCTGGTTCATAGTGTACTTACATACCTATAGAAGTACTACGGGTATGTAAGATGTTACCATTGGCGGAAACTGAGTGAAGGGTGCTTGGGACCTCTCAGTAATGTATTTTATAACTTTCTATGTAGTTATAATTATTTCAAAGTAAAAAGTTGAAAAGATCTTTTTAAATAAGGAAAACACACAAAAAAATTGTCATCAAAATAAGGAAAACACACAAAAAAATTGTCATCAGGGTGGGAGAAAAGAAAGAGCTGCTGTCAAAGGAAAGAATTGGGGGTGGAGGCAAAGGAAATATAAAGATGTAAGAACTGTTGCCAGGAAACTAGTTTGAAGACAGATGCTGCTGGCAGGAGAAAGGCAAGCATGATGGAGGTGAAGATTTGAGAAGTATTAAAGAAATCATTGGCAGGACCTGACCATGATTTGAAGTTTCAGAGTGTGGGAGAGAGAGATGATGAGAAATAGTCTCAAGATTCTGACCTAAGAAAGGAAGTGGGCTGCAGTGAAACTTATGCAGATGAGGAAGACTATGGAAAGCATAGAGGGACCAAATGAAAGAGAGAAGCACTCTGTTTTGAGCAGGTTGAATTTGGGAAGTCTGTGAGATTTGGGGTGGAAATGTCAAGTGGATGAGGTCAAATACAGGGGTTTAGAGCTCAAAAGAGAAGTACAGACTAGACATATAAATTTAGAAATTTTTGCAAAATGGGTGTGTTAATCGCTCAGTTGTGTCCAACTCTTTGCAACCCCATGGACTGTAACCCACCAGACTCCTCTGTCCATGGGATTCTGCAGGCAAGAATACTGGAGTGGGTAGCCATTCCCTTCTCCAGGGGATCTTCCCACCTCAGGGATCAAACACAGGTCCCCTGCATTGCAGGCAGATTCTTTACCATCTGAGCCACCAGGGAAGTTTTGCTAAACAGGTGGCCATTGAAACCATGAGAATTAAAGAAATTATCTAAGAAAAGAGGAAAGAAGAGAGAAAAAGATCTAGGACTGAGCTTTAAAGAACTGTTTGAAGATCAAAATAAAGAACCAACAGAGGAAACTGGAAGGATGGCCAGAGAGAGGTAAGACCAGCAAGTACAGGTCACAGAGGCCCAGAGGAGGAGAGGGTGGTCTGTTGGCTGTGTTGACTGCCAAGGTTCGTGGGTTTGTCGTTGTTCAGTAAGGACCCTGAGTGAGGGCCTGTTGCCAGAGCACAGCAGAAGCCACGCTACTAATAATAACACCCTGGGCAGTGCCGCCTTCCCTGGGAAGGAAGGTCAGCACATTCCAGAGAGTGACCTGGAGCCCCACAGCATGCTGGATGCCCCCGAGGGTGGGCGGTGGGGCGGGGCTGCAAGCTTCAGGCAGCCGGCCGCACTCCACAAGTAGCTACTGAACGCCAACTCTGTTCAAGACCTCTGTGACCACTGCGCTGAGCTCTGAAGACATTTTCTAGAAGAGCTTTGGACCAGTGAACAGCAGCAAGTGGGCTTGAGAAACTCCTGTTGGAAGTCCACCCTCCCCCACCCCCAAAAAATCCCATGGGCTTTCTCTGTGTTCCTGTCTTGAGACAGTCACTAGCCTCCTCGCTAAGACTTTAAACCCAAAGAAGGGGAATGGATCTCACACAGCCTCCTCCCCGGGTAAAATGCAAGGCTCCAAGTCTGCTGGTCTACAGTCCATGGGGTTGCAAAGAGTCGGATACAACTGAGCGACTAACACTTTTTCACTTTCAGAGTCACTTCAGCTCTACCTGGAGAGCTTCTTCACTCAGAGCTCAGACTCGAGTGGGAGAGGGAAGGCAGGGATGCAACTTCTCAGCCCGGGAGGGTGAGGCACAAAGAGGTAAGTCACCCAAGCGGCCATTAGCGAGAGCAAACGCTACACCCAGAACTAGATTCTGCTTTCTGTGCCACCAGAACAGTTACCTGTCTGTGCCTGTCTCTACAAACTGGAGAAGGCATCTCCTTGATACAACTACAAGGATAAGGCTTCTTCTCTACCGTGGAAATGACTGGAATAATTGCACACTGTTGGACAAAACAAAAAGTTTCAAGGGAAACTACCAGAAGCCCATACCTAAGTTTGACTACTAGAATTCCTTATTTAGGTCAGGACGAATTTCTAAAATCTTTAGAAGTAAGTGGGTAATAGTCTTTCCAATTCAAAGTGATAGTCGCTCAGTCGAGTCCGACTCGTTGTGACCCCATGAACTATGGAATTCTGCAGGCCAGAATACTGGAGTGGGTAGCC